ATATAATATTTATGTTATATAATATAATTTTTTTTTGAATCTCATTTTCCTTCATCGATCGTTAGCTAAAAATTATCGATAATTAAAAAAATGTATGACCAAAAGCTATTGCGAATATCACATTCGATTTTAAGAATCCAATATGTAACGAATGCATAAAATGTTATAAAAGGTACGTAATACCACGTACATCTTACACAAGGCTTCGCAAGCTGAAAAAGAATCCTATAAAGCACACAGCGATGTAGACTATGCAGGTGACAAACAGTCGAGAAGATCGACTTCCGGTTACGTATGTCAGGCCGCAGGTGCTCGGGGTCATGGTCATCAAAAACACAAAAATAAGTGACTCTGTCAATGATTGAGGTGGAGTTTCTGGCGGCCAGACTATACGGCTCACTCGTCTCTACCAGGAAGCACGATCTTTGCTGGAAGTTGTAGACAGACACTATTCTGCTGTAGGGGGAGTATTGGAAACTCCATAGTTGACCTGGTCGTCAGATCATGTTTTTGTATTGTAACTTACATTCAAATATTGATAACAATACAAGTTTGGGTAAAAATACTATTGTTTTATTAGTTATACATTCATTTACAAACGTTTTACACGTAATAAATAACACAATTATTGAAAAAAAAAATTAAATTATCAATGATGTAAACCACAGAAAACCTTAGCCAAATTTTATAAAACTAATAAGGTTCAGTTGTACAGGACACTCAATGATTACAAGATGATAATTTTAAATAAATAAAATATGAGACAACATGACATACGTTGCTCTGACCCCAAAGTAAGTAACTAAAACACTTATGTTATGGCAAAACCGGAAAAACGACAAGACAACGAAAAGTAGTGTGCAAGTCACTCGACCACAGAGGCCGTCGAGCCTGTTACAAAATATTCCGTTTGCTGTTGCTGGTGTTGTGCTGTTGTCTTTTTTTTTATGATAACACGTGACAGGACGGACAAGTCGAGCGTCTGGTGTTATAAGGGTTCTTGATTTAGCTTCCAGGTGGTAAAAACTCGCCTGTCCATAGCAGTTAAAGACTATAAATAAAACATTGTATTATGAATTTTACTATTTTAATCTCAAGAGCATCTATCTTTCTTAGTATTTTCATCGTGTGGCGTCTATCCATATAGGTAGGCATCTATCCTCAAAAAAATAGGTGTGCAAAAAGTCAATTTCTTCAAAATCAGTAAATGTTAGATCAATAAAATTAAGTCTTAATGTAATATAAAAGATTAAACTAGTTATATCCATAGGAATTATTCATGGTAAACTAATAATTTTTAAATTAGGAGGCCCTTTCAAAAAGTGGGAAATCTAACCCGGTGTTACCCTAGTTATTAGTAAAAATTTTTTACAGACAAACTTTGCTATGTTTGTGAGGTCAATATATGAACAAAGATGGCCCCGTAATAATGTAATGCGTTGATGGAAGTAACACACCGTAAATTGCCCTTGTATTTTCTATACATGGGCAACTCAACTCAACATAAAGTTGCGTTCAATATGTCAAGCGCCATCAAGAGATTGAATGGCCTGAAATAATTTCTAGTATTGTAGAGCAACTTGTGTTTGGAAGTTGTGTATTCAATCATATACTTAAGACTCATACCTATATAAAATATAAAATTTGCACTTGATGTAACGATTGAAAATGAATTAACGAGTGAACACAATAAACTTTTTATTTTAATAATTATAAAACAACCAAATGCTGCGCTGCTATCAAGTAAAGTACAGCTGCCTGGAGCAAGTTCCGCCCTTCCGCTGCCGTGCCGCTTTACCTTATTGAAAACGTAATAAAAGCAAACATTAACTCAAAATAATACAATTTGTTATTAATACATGCTCGTGCGTATGCGTAATGAAAACCAGCAAAACACATTTTTATATTTTAATTAAGATAGGCCCAAGAGGCTATACCCAGATACATAGATTGAGCATAGATTGATGAGTGTCACTTTCTAGAAATTATGAATAAGAACAAAGATACAAAACCTAAAAACATACCTTCTGCTAGCACTTGCTGGAGCTAGTCTTGGTGGAGCCTGCTAGCCCGTTAATAATATGGTGATTAACTAATTTCCTTTCAGATCTTGTAGCAGAAAACTACGTCAAAATATTGATGCTTCTGCATGAACTCTTGGAGCATATCAATTTGGTCAGCAATGGCGTGGACATTCAACTTTATTACACAATATTTTTAATATATATTAGTCAGATTATATACCTACATTATGTGTCTACATTTTTAGAAGTTGAAAATTTGTATTTTCAAAATCTCGTCGTCATTTTTACGACGACAGATACAATTTTTAAACAAATGCTTTATGGCAGTGACACGTAGTCATTTTGATTCAAAATGTTTAATTAGCCACTTAGAATACATTTTATATTACAAAGATATTGGTAATATGGTAATAGCATATTGTAAGTTACATATTAGTATTTGACATAAAATTAACATATTTGTTGTGAAATGCTCATTTTATAACATAATTTGCTTTTTACAGTATGTCCATCTTAAAGGACCCTATTTTTTCATTCATTCTACTTGTATTCTACATTCACCTTAGCCGTGCCGACGTTGCCTATGGCCAACGAAGCATGGCCATCGTTGATCCGAAAGTCCTTCGGGGTAAGAGCAACCAACGAACTACGTATTATGAGCTTCGTTGCGGACGCAGTGACGTAGACTACATCACTGCGTCACGTAGTACGTGACTGCGTCCGTCTTTCGTTTGTGTATCGTTTTGAGCGCATCACTAGAGCCTCAGCAACGTCCCACCTTATAGTGTTTCAACTTAAAATATACATATCGTATTGTTATTTCGTGGATTCTTTTTCGTTTTTTTTTTTGCTTGACTCGGATTTATGTACTTATCGTTAAATGTTGACTAGGCTATCATAAAAACAAGGTGTTTTGGGTAGTGCCGCGGAGCAAACTTTGTAGCTCTTGGTCCTGGATTCCATTCCCGATAGAACCAATTTGGGAAATGAACTTTTCTGCAGTGGTTTTGGCCTAGGTGTTCT